AAAGCACAGCAGGATCCTGAGGAATCCTAAATCTGACTTCTGTGCCCTTTTTAAAAATGGGTGATGCTGTTCCCTCTGGTAGCCATGTTTGTAAAGACACCCATAAATACTCGAGCGGCACCCAGCTGTAACATATCTGGGAAGCTGTGAAAGTGTCTGAAGAGAGAGGAACTTCCCAGAAGCACGCCATCCAAAATACTAGAGAGTGACTTAATGTTGGTTTTAGGCTGGCTATACCAGCCTCAGTGATGTGGCACACTTCCCATTACAAGAAAATTGTTTCTTTGGTACTCTCTTTTTTACCAATATTTTCAGAAGTGCTTCTCTGAATTTTTATGTCTGGGCTTTTTCTTCCCCCAAAAATTCCATCAAGAGGAACTCCAGTTTAAAGCCTTTCTTAACCTTGCATGGACTTGCTCACTAAGCTTACCTTGTTTGTTGGATGATTGCAACAAGCAAGTTAGCAAGGTTTCTTGAATTAATACGTATCTCACTTGAACTGTTACCTCACTCCTTAGCTAAATGTTAACAATAAAACTGGGACAATTGCAAGCATTTGAGTTAGCAATGTAAGGATTTAATTTATTTACTAGTAATCTGGAGCCAACTAAGAGATGGTTCAGCAAATTAGAACTCTTGCTGGGATAGCAGGAGCATTTTATTATATCAGGGTTGCCCACAGGCTTTGCTTGAAGGGCTGCCAACTGCGAGACGGGCTCAGGTTGCTCGTGTTCCACTTCTCTCCAGAGAGCTGAGAAGGGAGGAAAAGGAAGAAAATGTGTGTGAGTTGTTGACAGAGGAGGGTCTATATTTGACTAAACCCTTGTCCCTGCAAGAAGGTAAAAAAAAAAAACCAAAACACCCAACTGAAGATCAAATAAACGAGGGTGGGAAAATGCGTGTTTCCAGTGCCTGGCTGCTTTTCTCTGTCATGACTTTCTCTGTTTTTATCTTTGTCCTTTCTTCCTGTGTGGTGCTGGTGCAGCACGTCAGGAAAACCTGACACACTGTCTGGACTGGCTGGTGCCATCACCGAGAGGTGTGGCGGTTCTTAGAAAAAAACTCCTATCTGTTGTTCATCTTCGAAGGCATATCAGCAGCCATCGCTGTGGCTTGTTAACATCTAATTCTCTTGCTAGCAAGATTAAATAAAAAATGCTAACATCTCTGAAGCTTCACACCTGAGCCAACCAAGCCTTGTCATTTGTGGCCAGGAAGGCAAGTACTGGTTTTCTTAGAATACTAGAGGGAAATTTTGCTTTCTGCATCTAGTGCAAGTCAGGCTTGGTAATATGAAAACCTGGAAAAGGAGCCAAAAAATTTCTGCTCTGGTCTCTTTATAATGGGGAATAGGAGATTGTATCTCACCTTTCCCTTGTTCTGAGCTAAGTGTGGCTAAGTTTTTGTTAAATGTGCAGGCTGAGATTCAATTAAGTTGCATCTTTCAGGGTCTACTGTCAAAGCCTAAAAATTTAGTTGCCATTTAGTTCAAAAGTTACTATGTTATTTTTTTAAAATAAGGCATTTTTAAAATTCGGACTCTGCTAGAACCTATTCATCTGTAATACATTGTCAGGTAAAATGGTGGTGTTTGCTTTTTCTGTCTCTATCTGTTCTACTTTCTCTGTCTCTGCCACCCAGTCACACAGTTAGCTAAGGATACTTTTGTAAGTGAGGCTGTGAAGGAGCTGTATGAGACTTCTGACAAAGAGGAAGGGCCTGGGGTGGGGTGACGTTATGAGCTAGAGAGATGTGCTTTTATTGAAAGCTTTGAAGTGGGCCAGGTAATTCCTGTGTCTGTCCTTAACACACCTGCCTAGAAAGGGTCTGACCTGCTATGGAGGAGAGGAGGAGGAGGAGGAAGGGACTCATCTGTAAAGAGGAAAACATCCCGTGAGAGAAGTAGCGTTATATTGATAGATCCTAAGGTCTAAGTACTGAGATCTCGATGGAGGGCGAGAGTGGTCCTTCAGTGATTGTCCACAGTGCTTTACCACACTCTCTTGTTAGGCCTCTACTGCAACGTAGTGATGAGTAGTGACACCAGCTTCATGAGTTTTGGGGAGGGTTTGTTTATTATCTTTTAATTTCCTGTACCTGACTGGTGGATTTTGACAACAGGGTTTGTTGTAGACTATTGGTTTTCACCTCACTAATAAGATGTAGCTAAACTTTTCAAGAAACTTCTATTTTATAGGGAGAATATGCCATCTGTGTGTGTGTGTGGGGGGTTGTTTCTAACCCCTTCTTAGCAGCTGGCCATTCATAAACTTCACCTGAATCCTCTGTTTTAGCCTGATCCTTAAAGTCATGGTTTAGAAGTTTTTTTTCATGGCAGAAGACACTGCTCATGCTCCAACCATGAGTGTGGGAAGCTCCACATAGCCAAGGACTTCCAGCCAGCCTCGTTCACTATAAACAGGGCTGTAGTATAACTGTATTTATGAATTCTTGATTACAGCAAATTAAACATAGTTGCGAGAGCCAGAGGTAAACATGCCGGTTGGCATGAAGCTGGTGTTGAGCCGTGGCAGCCTGCGGTAAGAGGAGAGAACCAGAACTGGTTGTTTGTCAGTACTCAGTGAAGGTGCCGGAGGCTGGCCAAGTTGTGAATGGTGAGTCGTGGGATGGCTGCTGTCACTTCTCGTCCATGTCTGGAGGAAATGGCAAATGGTGGCTCAGTTGCGGCCAGGGAATGTCTGAGACGCCGTGCTGTCAGCACCGCCTGGCAGCAGAGCTCCAGCCTCCACTTCGGAGGTGACTAAAGTACTTTCAGGGCTGAGTTGTCGGAGTTCCCTGCAGGTGGGCAGGGACCCCGGCACAGGGCACGCTCTGCTCTGGAGGAAACAGGGCGCTCGCTCGCTGTGCAAAACCAAAGGAAGATACTGGTGACACAAAGCAGAGGCTGCCTCTGTAGCCACAAGAGGGCTGTCCAGTCTTTGGGTTGCACTTCTTGTTCGCTGTCAGCAAGCGCATACGCATCCAATGCAACATTGTCTTAAGCCCCAATGTACCTGAAGGAATTGTGCACGGAGCCTGTAAACTCATAAAAAAAATCTGCAAGGCTGTTCTTGGCAAGAGCTGTGTGATTATCAGGACGTGGTTTGGCCTACTGTAGGTATAGCTGTCAAACAGCATACAGTGGACTTTTGAGCAGTCTCATCAAGGTGATGTGGCCAAATGTATTTATTTATTGGTACTACACAGTAATCTCTTTTTCAGCTGGTTGCCAGTTCTGGTCAGTCACAAGCTTACTGCTCGCGTTGGTGTTGTCCTGTTCCTGGGCTCAGTGGCCTTTGCAGTTCTTCCCGCCTCTCCTTTCCCCTCAGTGTAACAGCAATGATCAGTCATGACGTTTAACAAGCGTCTGAGACAAGGCTTGCTAAAGCTGATGGGGAACTGTAAAGGCAGATGTAATGAGTCAGACTGCTCAATCCTGCTGGTTAGCATCTGACCTGATCCAGGAGTTGGTTGGAGGAGAATCCCCCTCTGGGCAAGCTCCTGTCACGTTCCTGATGGAACAAATGGCTTGTTCCTTCCTTGTGGCTTTCCTTGGAGGCTGTGCTCATCTCTCTCCTTCTGCCATGGGTTTTTGGCTAGTGTGTGGACAGAAGTTTCTGCTTAAGTAATGGGTCATGAGTGAGTCAAGCTGGCAGGGGGCTGCCAAAGGAAGGGAAAGGCTGCCAAAAGCATTCTCCCCTGACAAGTCCTTCCTCTCAGCTATGGCTGTTGGTTTTGGGTTAAGGCTTAGCTGGGGACCAAATATTAAGGGTTTTCCTGTGTGGACAGTTCCATCCTGGCCCTAAATCAGCAACACCTATCGAGTGGTTTTTTTTTTTTTCTTTTCAATTTGTAGAAGGTGCTGGATCTCTGCCATGGCCAGGTGGCTCTGCAACTAAACCTGGAAAACTCAAAGGAAAGAAAAAGATTTCTTCGGTTCGACAAAAGTTTGATGTAAGTGTCCCCAGTCAAATGGTTGTGGCTCTCTGACGTTCTGTTGGGGTGAAGAGCTCTGCACAGCATGCGGTTTTGTTACTACCAGGGATGGCGAAAGTTCTGCTGCCTCCCTCATGGAAGCCTCTTGGGAGAAAGGCTACAATGTGACCTGGCTTTGTTAGACACCAGAGAATCCATGGAAGTACACCTAAACGTCAAAGTTGCAAAAGCTTGCATTCGAGGAACCAACTGCACAATCTGCCAAATTCTTGAAGCAAGAGCGACTTCCTACTTATTCAGGCAGTCAGGCAGAATTCCATGATTGTATGATCCACTCTGCAGAACTCTACAATCCAAAGTGTTAGAAATAAGATGTTCCTTGGGTGGAATGTTTTTAGTTGTCTCACAATGAAAATGCTTTGCAAAGATGCTGTCTTCTGGTACGTGGCAGAGAAACGCACAAGATCCAGTTAATTTGCAGCGAAGGCTCTGTACATCCGTCTGGTACTGTCACATGTCTGTTCTACCATTGTTTCTGCGCTGCTAGACCAGTGGCGGGGGGGGGGCCTCGTGTGAAAGAGGATCGGGATGGGGCACTGTCTTCCACAGGTGGGGTTTGATAAGAGGTTCAAACTGAATTAACAGTCTGTTGAAAGGGAGAGTGTCTGTCTCTTACTGAGCCAGATTTATCAGGTGTCTGAGCACCTTGTGGTCCGGCTCAGTTCTCTGACAAGGCAGAAAACTAACCAAGCAAAAAAGATCCCAAACCCCAAGTTTTTCTTGCTGGTTTATTCAGCGGATCAGCATTCCTTGTGGTTGGATGAATGCCAAAGCCAGCGCAAAGGAAGAAGGCGCAGCCATATGGCTGAGGATAGGGGAGAAAGGTGGGCGTGTGAAACCTCCTGCTTTTACACTGTGAGGAGTTAGCTTGGCTCAGCCAAAGTGCGTAGCACGCTTCTAGGGACTATAATTAAGCATTATACGTGTGCGCTTCAGAGACTAGTGTTTCAAAGGGATGTGAGTCCAGCTGAAGGCTCGTTGTATTTAGAAACTGCTGAAATATTTTGCAGTGTTCACAGCTGCGACCTGAATACTGATGGCAGCCTGTGTTATCTTTTTGTTTTAAAACTTCACCGTAACTTTTCGGTAGCAAGTGGAGGAGAGTTTGAGAAGCAAGTCGTGACGTAGGGGAAGTCTTGGAATTTGGTTTACTTGGATACCCCTACGTTACACCACGTTTCTGATGTGTGTTTATATACATATTCCTGTAATGCTTGGTAGTAAGTCCTGTTTGAAGTGTATGTTATGATTAATGGGCTTGT